ACACGTGTAAAAAAGAAGTTTTTATCGTTTTTATATGCCTAGACTTTGACTTATGTGTTACTTATTTGTGTATGTGTGCTGATTATCATCTAATAGAATTAGCTAATTGCTGATGAACGCAGTTCTCGTTTACGTTCTGGCAACACTAGCTCTTGGAAGTCTTCACCTGATCGCGGTCGTTTGCTACGTGTTCGTCGTCCACCACGACCAACATTCTCTTCTTGCTGATCCGATCCTTTTGAGTCACTGCCTTTTGTTTCATCTTTGTCCCCTTTTTCCGCATTCAGCGATGCCTCACTGTCACGCGACGTGTTATTTGATGGAGCCGTTGTACTGACTGGCGTCGATGGAGTCGATTGACCACCATTCTTTGACACTTTTGATGGTGCGATCAAATCCTCAAGATCCATTTCTTGATTTGGGTGCTCCTGTAATGGAGAAAAAAGCGAAGGGATTTAATGAAATGTTCTTTGGGTGAAATATTAGGGATTTCATGGAAACAACAGTTTGGAACTTTGCCTAATGGGGCAGAAAAGATTGTGTTTATTGATAAATACCTGTTCATGTTGGCTTGAAGTAGATGTCTGTCGTTCACGACTCTCACGCTGTTCTCGCTCGATTTCTCTCTCTCGCTCCCGTTCATTGCGCTCACGTTCCCGTTCCCTTTCTCTTTCTCGTTCCCGTTCGTTGCGCTCACGTTCACGCTCTCTATCACTTCGATCACGTTCCCGTGTTTCATGCTATTTTTTACAAGAAGAATTGAATAAAAAAATTAATAAGGGTCAGTACAATTCGATAGTAACAAAATAAACGGTTTTTTCTGTCTTCAATCAATTGGTGTTCACCTGATGTTGTCGCGTTGATGAAGAGCTATCAGATGATTTGGCTGGACTTGGCATTGGTGACATGCTCACCGATTGCTACAAAAGAGGATTTGCCGTTAAAATATTAATCAAGATTGAATGGAATTGAATCGAATCAATTGAAAAAGATTGCAAATATCTGAACCAGATTATCAACCT